CACACACACACACTCACACACACACACACACACACACACACACACACTCACACACACTCCAGAACACAGTTACCTGAGGCACAGCCGTTAACCTTTGTGGTGTGAGCCATGCTGGCTTGAGTCCAGCGACAGGTCTAGAAAGGAGTGAGGAGTCATGCAAATTTATGCACCAAGTTCCCAAATGCATTCAACCTGAAACAATAAAGAGAGCCCCATCAAAAAGGATCACTTAAAAGTATGTACAACACTAAATCTTAGACTTCCGTTTACAAGGATGACTGCTGGTGGAGAGAGCAAATCTGAAAGGGGGCAGAGAGCCTGTGGCTCCAGGGGGTGGCGGCCCTGGACCCGCCATTCGGTGCTAAGGGAGTAGTAACACGCCGACAGGTGCCCGGGCGGACAGGCACTGAAAGCAGGTCTCCAGTTAATACTCTGATGGGAAACAAGACTGGCTATCCAGAAACGAGACTTTGTAGGAAGGTGGTCTCCAAATACAAATGACCTCCTAATGTGTATCATTCTGCAGCACTTCACAAACTTTTGGTTTTTAAGCTTATCCTCCTTTCAAAATGTTGGTTCAGTTGGTTTAATTTACTACTCAAGTTCAACTTTAAAGCAGTTGTTACACCACATGGTCACATTTCTTAAAAACAATGAACTTCATGGCAATTTTTTGAGATATCTCAAGTCTTTCACCTAAAACACAAATGTAATCTAGTTAACCCCCCTCTTAAAAACAAAAAATCTTCAATATTTCCCATTCTCCTGTTGGGTAAATTTCAAATGGCAGTTTTTTATTTTCCAAATGGCAGTTTTGAAATATTAGGGTTCAGGTTGAGCAACATACTGGTATTTATTTTACACTGATTCTCTAGTAAAAGTTAACTGAGATTACCGTAAAGTTACTTATGTTACAATCATAGAATTTAAAACAAATGGGGGAGAAAACAAGAATAGAAGAAAACATTACTCCAACCTTTGCAAAGCAAACCATGATACAGACAGAACTAGTCCACTGTTCTAACCCTAGGCCCACGAAATCAGAAGAAACTGAGCTTAACAAATTCCAAGCTCAGAACTGAAGTGTCAATTTAAAAATCTACCATATGACTCCCAACAATAGGATGTTAAAATAACAACATATCCATATATACTGGAATCTAATGCAGCCATTGAAATCATCTACAAGTTTTTAATAATACCAGAAAACACTCAAAGGACATTGATTTTAAAACTATCCTATCACAAACATAATTTCATTAAAAACATGTACCAGTACGGTATGTACACATTTAGACATTTATTTAAAACAATTAGAAGTAAATACACCAAAATGTTCATTGCCCCAGGATGCTGTGCAATTACAATGTTAGCGCCTTTACTGCTTTTGTAATAATAATTATTATTAAAAAGAAGCATTAGATACTTCCTGTCAACTTTGTTTTTATTTGCTTTAAAAATGCTATGCAAAAAGCAGCTATCAGACTCCAATCATGAAGATTCTAAGAGGTCAGAAATGTAAGTAAATAAAAAAGGAAGGAAGAGGAAATGGCTGATCACTTAGCTTGTGAAATTTCCCTCATTGTTTGATGGATTTGTACAGTTCAGAGCTAACTACTGTGAAAGCGACTCAGTGCAAACGCTAAGGAATGGCTGCTGCTGACAGGAGTGCCCCCTGCACGGCTTTTCCAGCTACAATGACTACGGCTCAGCTCCGGCAAAGGACCCAAAGCTGGACCTTCCACCGGAGACCTCCAGGTCCTCGCCGGCCCCCCGTGTCTGCCTGGCAGCACACCAGGCGGGGAGAGGAGCTGAAAGCTCTCTGACTCTGTGGCAATCACCCGACATTCTGCTGGAACGGGACACTGGATCAGGCCCAGGGCATTGAACTTGGAGAGCAATAACCTCTGTGCACAAGCAGAGCTAGCTGAATCAGAGCAGGCTTTAGGGGTAGAGTGAGCATCATCTTTAAGAACAGGGATAACTATACATGTCTGACAAATGTACCTTTGTAAAAAAAAATAGGAAAGAAAGAAAATAAACAAATGGGGACTGGGCAGACTGAAGGAAGGGGAGTAGGGAGATAAGGGGGCAAAGAAAAGAAACCCAGCTTCTGGAATTATTCAACGAATTATACGTTTAAAAGCCAACAACAAAAACCTAAGTGAAATCCCTCTTTCCTGGCCCCTGTGGAGCCTGGTGTGCTTGTACTCTTGCTTCATGGTGGCTTGTAAATACCATCATTTAAACTCTCGAGGGCGAGCAGAAGGCAAGAAGGAACAAGCTGCATGGGTTATGGATGCATGAAGTATGTGTCAAGGTATGTGGATGGAGATGTGCCCAGGATCTTCCTTAATCGAGCTTCATAAACTGTGGTCCAAGGTTTGCTCACGTTATTGGACCCCTTTCATCCGGCAGAAGATCTTTATCTCAGATTCAAATGAGCCCCTCCCCCCCCCAACTGAACAATAAAATCAAAATGAGGGGGAGCTTAAAATTAGGAACTACAAGCATATCAGTGGTAAAATAACAAGACACGCCTGTCACTGGGCGTGGATCCTGGCAGTGTTTGTGCAAAAACAAGTTTTATATTGTGTATTGATTTTCCTCAGGTATTGCTCATGCCTGACAGGTGGCCTCAAATTGGGAGGACTCCGTCTTCTTAATGACATGCAGATTCTTAGGTCGGTGTTATTGTATAAGCCAGAAAAGCTTTGGCCAGGATCCACTCTCTGTTACAGATCAATAAACTGCTTCTTTTCTCCCTCAGAGAAGATTCAAACCAGTAAATCTTAAGTGGTACAATGGTGGCTTAGTTCTGCTTACCAAGAAAGAGCACTTCTTTGAAAGGATTTAGGAAAATACATCAATAGAGAAAATAAAGAATTTGTCTTCTCTATTTATTTCAAGAGACTGGTCTGCATTGAAGAACATGTTAGTGGCTCCCCAAGTACAGTGCAGAGAATAATGCAGTGATTATACGAATTAACCCCTAAATACTTTCCATTATTAGCTTAATATAATAAATATAAAAATCAGCTCAAAAAAATGAATCAGCTCACTAGACCTTTTCTAAGAACACATCAATAAAACCAAATAGATGAAACTGAGGTTTGCTATGTACTCTAGGCCAGCACTGCCAACCGATCAAATGCCATGTCTCGGTTAGAACCACGGTAATGATGACGATGACAACACTGATGCCACTGCTGATGACAGCCAGTAGATATTGTGCTCTTGCCGCTATTAGTTATTGGAATCTAAAACATAATCCCCTTTAAGGTGCTCCATTATTTAAGGCAAAAAAAAGTTATTGGTGATTACATGATGACAAAATGCTTTTTTAAAAATTACATTAATTATAAGACACATCCTCATTTCAGAAGTGTTACAATGTGAAATTTGTGCATCTGAGAATTGGCGAAATTACGTTACATTCAAGGCACTTTTTAAGGCATTTATTTAAACCTCAAAACAACCCTATGAAGTATTAGGGTCCTCTTTTCCCATTTTATAGATAGGAAACTGAGGCATAGGGAGGTTTAGAACTTGCCGAGGTCACACAGCTAGTGAGTGAGAGAGCTACATTCGGGGCTAAGTGAGCCCTTGAGCTCAGGCTCCAGCCCCTGTGAGTATGAGATGTAGAGTGAGGACACTATTGCTTTAACAAGTAAGAACTTAGACGCATAGGTGAGTGAGCTCCTTTTCAAGGTAGTCACCTGACGGATGTATATGCCTATTGCAAGGATGCTTGCTCAATTTTTTTTTTAGATAGAAAGTTATGTTTCAAAATTTATGTAATTGTTTTTAAAGCGATTGAATTTCCAATTTTCTTCCTTGGGGTTACATGTTTAAGAACTTAAAGAGGTACTTATATGGCACACAGGTAATGTCTCAGCACTTAACCATCACATTTCCTTCTAGACTCCACATTTAGTCAGCTTGAGTATCCGCCTTGTTCCTTAGATTCTGCTATGAATGTCATTTGACACTTTCTTTTTTTTTTTAATTTTTTTATTCATTTGACACTTTCAAAAAATTAAGTACTTTTTCAAATGAAAACATTGCCCACCACTGAGGACAGGCGGGAGGCTCTCAGTGGAATCATAGTAGTTTCAAAAATGGATAGAATTAGACCTGGCTGGGTAGCTCAGTTGGTTAAAGCATTATCTCCGTATGCCAAGATTACAGGCTCGATCCCCAGGAAGGCACATACAAGAGGCAACCAACGAATGCATAAATAAGTGGAACAACAAATCGATGTTTCGCTCTCCTCTCCCTTCCTCTCTCTTTAAAATAAATAAAAAGAAAATGGATAGAATTATGGCAATATAATTAGAATAAGAACCTTGATGCTCAAAAGGACAATTATGACAGGAGAAACAATTTTGATGCAAAAGTTCAAGAATCTCCTTTATAACATGTCATAGTATTTTTTCTTCACTTAATGAAATTAAGGAAGCAATATAGTTTTACCTAAAATCTGGAAAGGATAGAACATACAAAAAACAATAATTTATTACCTCACAATCCTAATGTAGCCATTGTTACCACCGGAGGCTATTTCTTTTCAATATATTGGTTGACTGTATATTTTAATGACCTTAACATGTTTTAAAGACCTATAACATTTCAGAATGTGCACCAGCCATTTTTTCTGAGATACGAGAAAAACTAAAGTGCTGAGCCATTCCCAGAAGTTCAGACACTAGCACTGTGAAGCAGACAGAGACACAATGAAAGGAGAAAGCCTAGAACAGCTGTGTACACCATTCGATTCCAAGCCATAGTATGGTCTTACTTTGCCCAAAAAGAATGAGAGTGGCCAAAAAAATGTATTCACAAGAGACCACTAGGCCTAAGTCATAAAGGATAATTGAGTGTTTTTCAGGATGAGAAAGATGGAAGGTCATTCTAGGCAGAAAGAACAGCACATGCAAAGGCAGAAGAAGAGAAAGTGCATGGCAAGGAGGGAGAAGCGCAGTGGCTAGAGCACGTCCACGTCCACGAGGGCTCAGTTGTAAATAAACTGAACTGCTAGAGAGAAAGTGATGTCAGGAGACAGGGTGCTAGAGAGAAATCTGAAGGAAGTGGGTGCTACAAAAAACAACAAACCGAAAATCACACACACACACACACACATACACACACACACACACTTTTACCCTACTTTAAAAAAATGCAAAGTTCAC